TATGAACATTTTAGGAGCTCTTAGTGTTTGCTGGTGCTGACACTTAATAGTGCTGGTAATATCTTGAAAATTAGCTTAAGGCACGTGTTTATAGATTCTTGATAGATTCAAAAGATGCCTTCAATTACAGGGTCGTAGACCTATACAAAAGCATCTAAATTTCTATAGTTTATTCTTTTTGGGTCTATTTCAACTTCTGATGCTGATTCTGACAGTGTGCTTTGTTTCATTACTGCTTCTTTCAATATTTCTTGTATAATGATTGGCACAGAGTTCGGTATGACGTAGTTAGTGCTTGGTAGATGGACAATGGGGAGTGTTTCATCTGATAATGCTTGTAATGCATCTCTTCTTGACAGAGCAATGGAATCTGGTTTCATGTGGATGCTGCTTATGCTGGAAGTGCTTGTGTATGTCCAGAGTATCGCCACCATATCGATGGTGTTGAAGAAGCTGACTCGTTTAACATGAATGCTCATAAATGGTTTTTAACTAACTTTGACTGTTCACTGCTCTGGGTTCAGGTATCTGTGATGCAAAATCTTGTTCTTATTCCCTATCCCATTTAAGCATCTGTTGATGGTTAGACTTACTTAATGAACCGAGAAAAAAAAATGCACTGCTCAAATTGATGATGACAGGACAGGAACGCTCTGATTGAGTCACTATCGACAAATCCCGAATATCTGAAAAACAAGGTATGTCTGTAATTGCATGCTTTTGGTAGACAAGCTATTTTATAAACCTTTTATGATCAAATATTTTGTCTTTGGGGGATCAGAAGGTCATGGGGGACATACTAATCAAACTAACGTGCAGTTTAAATCTTATCCCATCTGTGATTAAGCTTTTGTTCTAACCGTCTGCTTGCACAATCGAAACTTCAGGCCTCTCAAGGAAACTTGGTCACTGATTACAAAGACTGGCAAATTCCTCTGGGACGGCGCTTTAGGTGTGTCTTTGAAATTTAACCTTTAAATATGCCTGTTGTTTTCTTCTATAAGAGATTTTCACCCTCATAAGTAAATTTGCATTATAAATACATTGGAACCGTTTGATCACTTATAAATGCATTTAGCAGTGCGCATATGACCTTTATTCATACTAGTTCTTGGAGTTTGAGAGCTTACGGCCAAAAGATATTATCAATGATAATAGCCTTCCAATAATGGTTTTTATAAATCTAAGAGATCTAGAAGTAGTGGCAGATGTTTTAACCTTGCCTATTGACTTACACTGGGCCCCAGATCCTTAAAACTCTGGATGGTGTTGCGACTGTATGGATTGGAAGGTCTGCGAAGTCACATAAGAAGCCACATTAATTTGGCTGCTCACTTTGAGACGCTTGTTTCTCAAGACCCAAGATTTGAGGTGCGATAGTGCTGCGTTTTATTTGAAGCCAAAACGAGTCAATTATGAATATCGTATTTGTATCAAAATTCCATGGTCTCTTAATTTCTCACAGGTTGTTACACCCCGGACTTTCTCTCTGGTTTGTTTTCGGCTCTTGCCTCTGCCCAATTCTGTAGATGATGGGAACCAGCTCAATCGGGATCTGCTTGACTCTGTAAATTCTAGTGGGCATATTTTCATAACACACACGGTAGATATGCTTTACCGGCGTCATGCTCTGGTTTATCTTTCTTAATTTTCTTTTCTTTTGCTTTATAAAATCATCAACTTTTTGTACAGGTTTTATCAGGCAAGTACATTCTACGTTTCGCAGTTGGCACACCATTGACAGGGGTAAGGCATGTGGATGCTGCGTGGCAGATTTTGCAGGATAAAGCCTCTTCTTTACTTGGGAATTCTTAGGACGAGTTCAGAATGCTCTCTATCTGTTTCATATAATGGTTTGCTCTTCACGCCAATGCATGGACATGGATTGTTGTCTTATTTATGATTCAAATTTCAAAATCTTGATCACTTTGAATTAGCAACGAAATGGAAATGTATACATATGATTAACAAATAATCCACGTTAAGTTTCGTTAGAAGAAGTCCGTCTTAATTATGTGTTATTTTGTGAGCTAAAGTGGTTCAGAAAAAATAAGAGGCATGATTAGTTAAGTGGCAGAAAATTACAATAACGTGAACGTCTGTGGCAGAAAATTGGAAGAAATTGGTGGATGTTGCTTGTAGGCATGTTTTCTTCTGGAGGTTGAGTGATGGGTGGATTTTCCTTCTCTCAGCCATTGGACGGTGCTGACTGGAATCCAACTGGATTCTCCCACGAAGAAAAACAATGGGAAAAAATGGTAAAAATATTATAAATATTTTCATGTAAAGATACAAAAAAAAAAAAATCAGTTTTCATTCATGAATAGTCTTTCCTATTATCTCAACAAAACAGTCATAAATAAAGTAAAGTATATAAATAATATTAATGTGTTGTTTTTCTTAACTGCAATTGATGAACATTACCCCAAAAGAGGTGGTTTAGCTGTGTGGGGGGTCGAACCATTAAAAAAAAAAAGGAAACTAAGAAAGTATTATTGCTAATGTATATTGGTCAAATTAATAAAAATGTGACTCGCACTTTATAAGAATGTGAATTAGAATCCCACCGGCAGTGCAAAGAATTTTTTGATAAATAGTTTATAGAAACCCTTGCAACCATGAGTTTTTTTTTTTTTTTTGACCGGAACCATGAGTTATTCTTAAGAGGTGGAAAAGTAAAAATAGAAAATAAAGCTGACTATATCTTTAGATTCGCAGCATGAATTGACAAATTAATTATTTGAAGATGATATTAAATTATTATTATCATCGTTATTATGCCCGTTTACAGGCTCTCGAAGGTTAGACTCTGGAGTCAAAATGAGTTCCTTTTTTTTTTTTGTCTTAAATAAAAAATTTTAATATTTTTTATCTCATAAATGTATAGTTTTTCATCAAACAATACCATCAGTTTTATATGCTTAAGGGAATTCGTAAAATTTTTTTAATGCAAATAATAAAATAAGGCATTGCAAGAAAATTAGCGCACATTTATTATAACCAGCCCAATAATTTATTTAATATTTATGAATTAATTATTTTTTTATAATATTAAAAGAACACTAAGACTATAATTTTTTTTTTTTTTTGCCCTTGGTTGGTGGCGCAGATGTTGGATGTTTATGGTGGTGGATGCGACAGATGAACGAATGATAATCAGTTAATCATATCAGCACATCACACTTGAAAAGAAGTCCCTTAGGTTAGAAGCTTCTTCTGTGGCTGGCCCAAGTTAGATCAGACAGGATCCCATGTTTCCAGTTCATCATGGTTAGGCCGCCTGACATGTCAGAGTTCAATTTCAATTAAGTTCTGTGTTCTACTACTATTAAATAATAGCAGAACAAAACACAAATTGTCTTTACATTCATTCAAATAAATAACTTATGTTTATTATTTGCATAATAATTACTCCTCTGCTATTTAATATAGGACTTAATTGTTGAATTGGTTTTGGTCCTAAATATAAGACTCATTTCTCATATTTATCAATTTTTTCTAAATTACCCCTATAGATACTCTCTCAACCATAATCAAGTAGAAGAAGGAGATGGGGTATTAAGAAAGATGATTATGGTATTTTAGGAAAAATGTGTCACATTTCTTATAATTAACTAATTTACCTAACTTCCTTAATCTAATCAAATTAGTTAAATAGGTCTTATATTAAGGACCGGAGGAGTATTAAAATAAACATACCATGTACATATACTTAACTTTTCTGTCCTAATAATTATGTTTTCCACACAAAAAAATCCTATTAAACATATTTTGATGCCATTCAAATTAAAAAAAAATACTGATGCATATTTTGGCGATATGTACTGCAGAGGACGCGTTTACGGGGGGAAATGGGAACACACTTTGTACTTCTCCTTTTTAATGCCAGTTGTTTAAGGAAAACCAGAAAGGCTATATTAATTGGCAATTGCTATCCAGCAATATAAGATCTGTATTTATTTGATATTATTAGTAATGAATGCATGTGCGAATAATATTGGAATATTCCACTTTTAATGGCCGGATCATTTTGCATTTGCATTTAAAGCTACTTCCATATTTTTAGTCGATGAGCTTCATCAACAAATCTTCATTGAATGCTACAAAATTTCTCATCCATTTGTCAATAAATCAATTTTCAACTCCATCATAGACACATGTTCATGCCACGTCATTTCCACTTACCAGCCTCCATCAATCCTGCGTCCCCCTGCCCCTGTATTTCACAAGAACGCAGGCGTCACAGATATAGTAATTTCTGGAAGGGAAAAAAAAAAAACTTGTGCTTGTTTAAATTAATATTCCTAAAAAATCTAATGCGAATATTTTGTTTTGCACTTTAGGGTTTGAGCTCTTATTATATGTAAAAGACGCACGCCCGAGTATACACACACACACATATATTTCGTGTGTACAAGTGATTGATGAGTGGATTAGCTGTGGCATCCGCGTTAATGGAGTCATACTCATAAACCAAATAATATGAAAATGGCTTTCTCAATGTGCTACGTCACAATTCAAAACACATGCAAGCCGCTCCTTTTGTCTCCACTTCTTGACAACTTGGGATGGGGTGGTTTTAGGTTTTCACTGTGACAATTAGGCGTTGGGAGGAAGAATTCAATTCAAGTGGTTTTCAGCGCCACTCTTTTGACAAACATGTCGGCACTTGGCGCGGCTCAAATCATCATCGTCCTTACTATTCAGTCCATCACTCTCTCACTTGAATCCTGCCGGCCATTATATTAATATCCCTCTAGCTCTGCTCTTGAACCATTACACTCCTACCATAGATGAGGAGTTAAAGTTCTCTTTTTTGTTCTGATTTTAATACTCTTTCCAGCTCACCTGGGGACTATTAAATTACGGCAAATCAAGCATAATGATACGTATATATAGGCGCTAAATAACAAAGAACATCACCTGAGCCTAATTCCAGTTGCGTCTATTCTTTGGCCTTTGTCACTGCCAAGTTTTTGGTTCTCGCACGGAACTGTCGATTGTTAACAACACCACTCGGATATTTATTAAAGAGTATGAAGAAAGAAAGAGATTAAGCTGATTAGGCTACCACTATATCTCTATTCTCTACGTCTATATATAGACTAGAGGCTAGCTTACTCATCACCAACTTTGTAGTTCTTAGTGTGGGATGATTCATTACCCAGTGGCATTGTTCCTTTCTCCCTCTTTCTTTCTCAACTTTGGTTGTGTAAGTGGTGATAAAGCTCATTGAGCTACTGCATCTTTATACAGGCCACCCTGGGCTGTCTGCGCCAACTCCAAAATCGCGATTTCAGATACGTAAGACGGGTCGGTTTTTCGTATTTTGTTTCGTTAGCTTTCTTTATTTCCTGCATATATTTTAATTTCTAGTGCTGCTTTTGTCACTTCCAATTCTTGTGTAATAATTTAGCATATACTGTTATGAGAGGGAAGTTCGAGCCATTATCTATCTCTTTCTGCTTGTTTTATTCTGTGTTGGTAACATATGTTTGTTTTCATGTGCAATGATTCCGCAGAAGCTGTCTCCAACTGCACATTTGCTTCTCCTCATCTTCGAGGTGGTGGAATGCTCCTCTTCTTCCGCTTGGATCTCTCTTATATAGCTTCATACGAACTCATTCTTCTTACTGAGTTTCTTCACCAATATATCATATTCAATAATGTCTATCACTCAATGGATCAATAATATTTCGGCTTCTCCATCACCTCCAGGATTGCTAATTACCCTTTTGATACGAGGATTGCCCGTATTGGAGCTTGCAGCGATATGCTTAAATTTGACTCTTTTTCTTGTGTCTCTGTTTATTGTCACTGCCACACGGATATTGGCGTATGCCTGTCGAAATCGAATTCGTAAGAACAACACGACCGGCTGTGCAAGCCCGGCTCCTCATTGTATTGATGGGGACATGCATGACGTTCGAATCAGTAGGGGGTTCAAATTCACAGTGTTCTGCTGTTTCTATGTTCTCTTCGTGTACATTTTGGTGTTAGGATTTGATGGGGCCGCTTTAATTAGAGGAGCAGCACATGGGAAAATTGTCGACTTATCTCTTCTTTCTATGCCAGTTTCCCAGGCGTTAGCTTGGTTCATGTTAAGCTTGTCGGCTTTGCATTGCAGATTCAAGGTGTCTGTGAAGTTTCCACTTTTGTTGAGGGTTTGGTGGTTTTTGTCCTTTGTAATTTGTTTGTGCACCGCATATGTTGATTGGAGAGAATTTTGGATGGAAGGTTCAAAGCACCTTTGCTCTCATGTTGTGGCAAATTTTGCTGTCACTCCAGCTCTTGCCTTCTTGTGTATTGTTGCGATTAGGGGTGTTACTGGTGTAAAAGTAAGCACTAACAGTGAGCTTGAAAAGCCATTGCTTCCTGATGAAGGGCCAGAGTGCCTCAAGGTTACACCTTATAGTGATGCAGGGCCTTTTAGCTTGGCTACTCTTTCTTGGCTAAACTCACTTCTTTCCGTGGGAGCAAAGAGACCACTTGAACTTAAGGACATTCCCCTTCTTGCACCGAAGGATCGAGCCAAGACCAACTACAAGGTTTTAAATGCTAACTGGGAGAGGCTGAAGAGCGAAAACCCTTATAAGCGGCCTTCACTAGCTTGGACTCTCGTCAAGTCATTCTGGAAGGAGGCAGCTTCCAATGCCATATTCGCTGGTGCGAATACTTTAGTCTCATATGTAGGTCCATACATGATAAGTTACTTTGTCAATTACTTGAGTGGTAAACACAGTTTTCCTCATGAAGGGTATATCCTGGTTGGGACATTCTTTGCAGCAAAACTTTTGGAGACCTTGACAACTCGGCAGTGGTATTTCGGGGTGGACATCTTGGGTATGCATATTAGGTCAGCTCTAACAGCAATGGTATATCAAAAGGGACTCAGGCTCTCAAGCTTGGCCAAGCAAAGTCACACAAGCGGGGAGATTGTTAACTACATGGCTATAGATGTTCAGAGGGTTGGGGACTACTCTTGGTATCTTCATGACATGTGGATGCTTCCTCTGCAAATTATTCTCGCCCTGGCAATTTTGTATAAGAATGTTGGGGTTGCTGCTTTTGCCGCATTGATTGCTACAATCATTTCCATTGTTGTCACCATTCCAGTGGCTAGGATACAAGAAGCTTATCAAGACAAATTAATGGCAGCTAAGGATGAGAGAATGCGGAAAACATCTGAGTGTCTCAGGAATATGAGAATTCTCAAGCTCGAGGCTTGGGAGGACAGATATCGAATAAAATTAGAGGAGATGCGTGAAGTAGAGTTCAAGTGGCTTCGGAGTGCCCTCTATGCCCAGGCTTTCATTACTTTCTTCTTCTGGAGCTCCCCTATATTTGTGTCTGCTGTCACTTTCGGCACTTCCATATTGATGGGTGGTAAGCTGACTGCAGGTAGTGTTCTTTCTGCTTTGGCTACTTTCAGGATCCTCCAAGAACCTCTAAGAAATTTTCCTGATTTAGTATCGACAATGGCTCAGACAAAAGTCTCTCTTGATCGCATCGTTGGTTTCCTGCAAGAGGAAGAATTGCAGGAAGGTGCAACTGTTAACTTGCCACGAGGCCCTTCTAACATTGCCGTAGAGATTAATGATGGAGTCTTTTGTTGGGATCCTTCTTCATCTAGACCTACTCTGTCAGGGATACATATTAAAGTGAAAAGAGGGATGCGAGTGGCTGTTTGTGGTGTGGTTGGTTCTGGGAAATCAAGTTTTCTTTCTTGCATTCTTGGAGAGATACCTAAGATTTCCGGTGATGTATGTTGATGAACTTGGGCTTTTTCATTCTACTTTTCTTATGTCTAGTGATGTTTGAATCCATCCTCCTCACCTATGATAGTAAAGAGGCTCCTTTTGCAGGTAAGAGTCTTTGGCTCTTCTGCGTATGTATCCCAATCAGCATGGATACAGTCAGGAAATATAAAAGAAAATATCCTCTTTGGAAGCCCGATGGACAAAGTAAAATACAAGAATGTTCTTCATGCTTGTTCACTAAAAAAGGATCTGGAACTCTTCTCACATAGTGACCAACCATCATTGGTGATAGAGGTATAAACCTAAGTGGTGGCCAGAAGCAGAGGGTGCAGCTTGCACGAGCACTCTACCAAGATTCTGACATATATCTCCTTGATGATCCCTTTAGTGCAGTTGATGCCCATACTGGGTCAGAATTGTTTAGGGTTAGTCTTTTCCTTGCTTACAATCAGTTTTTCTGTTTAGAAAGAAATATATTGGATATGGTTTAATCAATGAAATGGACATGCAGGAATACATATTGACAGCACTAGCAGATAAGACAGTCATTTTTGTGACCCACCAAGTTGAGTTTCTTCCTGCTGCTGATATGATCCTGGTATGCCTGCGTGGGCTTGTCTTGAAATTGTCCTTTTATTCCAGTTTCAAATTTCATAGAAGTTAAATTTACAATTATATTGCAACTTTTCAACCTTTTGACCCTTGAGAGTCACATGTGCTCTGCATCTAAGATTTAAAAAAATTTGAAGGTATGATCCTTTTAACATTTATGCTCCATCTTTGAAGGTTCTGAAAGAAGGCCGCATCATACAAGCAGGAAAATATGATGATCTTTTACAAGCAGGAACAGATTTTGAAACTCTAGTGTCAGCTCACCATGAAGCAATAGAGGCTATGGATATTCCTAATCAATTCTCAGAAGAGTCAGATGAAAATTTGTCCTCGGATGCATCTGTTATGACTAATAAAAAATTGGTTCCATCAGATGTTGACAGTTTGGCAAAGGAAGTGAAAGAGGGTTCATCAGCTTCTGAAGAGAAAGCAATTAAGGTGAAGAAGAAAGCAAAATGCGCAGAAGATAAACAACTTGTTCAGGAAGAGGAGAGGGTAAGAGGTAGAATTAGCATGAAGGTGTACTTTTCGTACATGGCTGCAGCATACAAAGGCCTATTGATTCCACTCATAATCATTGCTCAAGCACTATTTCAGTTCCTTCAAATTGCCAGCAATTGGTGGATGGCTTGGGCAAATCCTCAGACCGCAGGAGAGCAACCCAAAACAACTCCTATGATTCTTCTGCTTGTTTACATGGCCCTTGCTTTTGGAAGCTCTTGGTTTATTTTTATTAGGGCTGTTCTAGTAGCAACATTCGGTCTAGCAGCTTCACAAAAGCTTTTTTTGAATATGCTTAGAAGTATTTTCCGTTCACCAATGTCTTTCTTTGACTCTACTCCAGCTGGAAGGATTTTGAATCGTGTAAGTTTTTTTTTTTTCCTTCTAATTTATCTCTCCATGTATGTAGTGCCCTATATAATATGGGTCATCTTTACCCCTCCAGGTATCAATTGATCAAAGTGTTGTGGACCTTGACATTCCTTTCAGACTGGGTGGATTTGCTTCAACGACAATCCAGCTTATTGGTATTGTTGGTGTGATGACAAAAGTCACCTGGCAAATTTTGCTTCTAATTGTCCCTATGGCTGTTTCTTGTTTGTGGATGCAGGTAAGGAGAAATATAGCATTTACATCCCCTCTTTCTTTGCTTGCCACTCCATTTTTGTGAATTAAGGAATCATTCCTGCGTTTAACTTGTTCTAGTGCAGAAATACTATATGGCTTCCTCAAGGGAACTGGTTCGTATTGTAAGCATCCAGAAATCTCCAATTATAAATCTTTTTGGTGAATCAATCGGTGGAGCGACCACCATCAGAAGTTTTGGACAAGGAAAAAGGTTCATGAAGAGGAACCTCTATCTTCTAGATTGTTTTGCACGTCCTTTCTTCTGCAGTATTGCAGCTATTGAGTGGCTCTGCTTGCGCATGGAATTATTGTCAACCTTTGTGTTTGCTCTCTGCATGATATTAGTAGTGAGCTTTCCACGTGGAACTATTGACCCCAGTGAGTATTGGATCTCATTAACTTGAAATGTCTTTTATTATTATTTTTCATTCTACTCATGGAGAGACAAGTTAAAAAGCTCTAAGCTTGTACTCAAGTAAGTTGCTTTCAACTTGACTAGAGTTCTGCGTGATCTTACCATGGTTGATCTTGCATTTAAACTCCTTCAAAGAGGAAAGTACTCATTTGATTGTGAATATTGCTCGAGATAAAGATGCAGGATGAAATGTGAAAAATTTAAATATAACCTTGTCAATCATTATTTCTTTTCTATATAGGCATGGCTGGACTTGCTGTGACATATGGACTGAATTTAAACGCACGATTATCACGGTGGATACTTAGCTTTTGCAAACTTGAAAATAAAATAATATCCATTGAAAGAATATACCAATACAGCCAAATTCCTAGTGAAGCACCAACGACTGTTGAAGAATTTCGTCCTCCATCCACATGGCCTGAGAATGGGAAAATTGAAATTGTTGATTTAAAGGTATAACTCTGATTAGTTTCACGTCACTAAGATGCTCATGCTTATTCTTGTTCCTTTGAATTGGAATTTGATCATTTCGCTTTTTGTCCTATTGCTTGCGTTGTCCCAATTAAAGGTTCGTTACAAGGAGAATATGCCTTTGGTGCTTCAAGGAGTATCTTGCACATTTCCTGGTGGAAAGAAAATTGGAATAGTTGGACGGACTGGAAGTGGCAAATCCACTTTGATTCAGGCATTATTTCGATTAATTGAACCTGCAGGTGGGAGTATCTTCATAGACAACATTAATATTTCAGATATTGGCCTTCATGACCTTCGTAGCCGTCTCAGCATCATCCCACAGGATCCGACTCTATTTGAAGGTACCATCCGAGGCAATCTTGATCCTCTTGAAGAGCACTCAGATAATGAGATTTGGGAGGTTAGCATTGCTTGCGTATCTCCATTATCCAATTTACACACAATTAGTGTAATCCATAGAAAAGTCCGTGTGTGTGAATGTGAACAATGTATGATATCCACGTATGCTTTCTTTTTATTGATCATTGATTGTAATATTTTCACAGGCGCTAGATAAGTCTCAACTAGGAGAAATTATCCGTCAAAAGGAGCAAAAGCTTGATACACCAGGTAAAGGACAATGTTTGGAGTAAAAAGTAACTTTAAGACTTCTGCCCCTAACCCCACTCTTTAGGAAAAGTGACTTTAAGATTCATTGTGTAATTTGCAGTGTTAGAAAATGGAGATAATTGGAGCGTAGGACAGCGGCAACTAGTTTCTCTAGGCCGAGCTTTACTAAGGCAGGCAAAGATACTTTTTCTTGATGAAGCAACTGCATCAGTTGATACTGCCACTGATAATCTCATCCAGAAGATTATACGGACAGAATTCAAAGACTACACTGTCTGTACTATTGCACACCGTATTCCTACTGTTGTTGACAGCGATCTAGTTCTGGTACTTAGTGATGGTATGTGAAGTTGCATCTTTCTCCTTAGTCCTTCTTCTTCTTCTTCGTCTTCTTCGTCTTCTTTCTCAAAATACACCTGCAGATTCTGCTTTCTTATATTTCACGTAGTACAGATTCAAATTTTTTTTTTAAGAAAAAAAAAAAATAGAGAGCGTATGTTTGTTTGTCACCTTTCGTCCAAATTAGCTCATAGATATGGTTCTTTGTTTTTGATGATAGAGTATGATTCCGTGTTTGTTTTGCTAGACTGTGCTCTTGAAGTGAACTAGTTAATATTTTTGCAGGTAGGATTGCAGAGTTTGATACCCCATCTCGACTTTTAGAGGATAAGTCGTCCATGTTTCTGAAGCTGGTGGCCGAATACTCATCACGCTCAAGTGGCATTCCAGATTTTTGAATTAAGGGTCATACGGGATCCTTTAAAGCTTTCTAAGTTATAGAGGTGGGGCTGGCATTAACACAAAGACGGTTCAAAAGTTGGGCCCATAAGTGTTGCCTCCGTGGCCACCTCTGATGCATTCGAAGAACTGGAAAAATGGTAAAAATAGAGGTGGTCGCTGCTTCAAGCATCAAGCATTTCCAATCCAGTGGGAGGAAATTTGTTTATAATTTGATGTTGTTGTTAGTTAATTCATCCCCTTTAGCAAGTTTTGAGGAAATGCAGGTATGTATAGCAGCATGCCTTGTAGCAAAGTATACATTTGTCCCATTTTGTTGGAAGTGAAGAACGTGGTAGATTTTTTTTTTTCCCCTTTAAGCTGGACGGTGGTAGAATTGAACAATAACGTATTCCTCGCTTTCTTGGACTCAGAATTAACTAGAAATGATATTTTGTTATATCCTCTCTTGGGGGGGGGGGGAAGAAGTCTGAACACAGCAAAAAGATATACTACTTCCAGTTTTTAATATGAGAGCTAATTGACTGATTTGAATAGATTAAGAAAATTATTTAAGTTGATTATCTGTGATAAATGAGTGTTATCTTTTCTAAAATACTTTCACTAATCATGTGTATTAGCTAGAATTATTATTTGATAAAATTTTTAACATGCATAATTACTATAAAGACTATTTAAAAAATAGATAAATATAAAGATAAAATGAATCAAGATATTATACTTAAGACCAAATTAAATATTAAACTAACTTTTATATTAAATATCGTATTTGGGTTGGTTAATTAAGAAGAAGCTTCAGAGCCTCCCCTATATACTGTTATTATGCGTCTGGCGCAAATATTTGATATATTAGTCACAAGATATGAACTCAAATAATTGAAAACTGAAAAAATTGAATCTTTTCAATCACCCGTTTAAGTATTATTTCACCAAACTCATTCGGTAATGCGGCAAAAATTGTTCTTTCATAAAGCAAAGCTCATTTATAATGAGTTGGCAAAGCCCAAAAACTCATTTATGATGAGCCCAAAAGGCCTAAATAGATATGTCAGCAGTGGTTGAGATGGGTGATTTGCCCAATTAGCACTTTTAGTCCCCTAGTAGAATAGAGGCTTGCTCAGAGACATTGGCCCAATAAATTGGAGCCGAAGTTTCCAGGATCCAGATCCAAAAACTGTCGCGTTCACCCTCGCAAATCTTCGTTTTCATTCCTAGTTGTCGTGGTGCCTTCCTTTCCCTCTGTCTGTGACTGGAGCACGGTATGATGCAGGCCATTACCAGGCGCTTAGGGCACCAATCGCTGAAGCCCTCAACTTCCATATCGTTGCTGAAGTGCACCTATCCAATTTCCGATCACTGTGATGTTCTATTTTTCTCCATTTTCCGTCTTAATTTGTGTGTATTTTGATGAATAATGTGCTTAGTTTCCTCTTTCTCTTCTGGTAATTGATGTTGCAGACTATGGAGCGGATCGCGAGCGTTATGCATCTACCCTTGCAACCAAGGGTGTCGGTCATCTTGTTCGCAAGGGCACGGGTGGAAGATCATCTGTCAGGTGACGCTGATTCATACATTTATCTTATAAGGCATTTTTTTAACCGGTTTGCCTTTCCCATTTGAAGTATAGGGGTCAGATGGCATTGTTAAAGAAGTGTTATTAGCTTATACAGCTGATAGTTGGACAGTCAAAGTGACGCTTGAAAGAAATTCTGTTTTGCAGTGGCGTTATAGCGACAGTATTTGGGGCAACTGGCTTTTTAGGTCGTTATGTTGTCCAACAACTGGGTAAGCTTGTACAATATTTTGCAATGTTTCATTGTTTCAGGAAAAAAATTACCAGAATATAGCACAAAATATCTGTTTACAGTAATTCCTGTTCGATTAAATTTGTCTACTTTTAATTAAGAAGGTATTTTAATATCAATTCTGTTATGTTGAGGAAGTTCTATTTATCTAACTGCATTGTATTGCTTCATTTACTTTTTGCAATACCATTCTCCTCTTCTAGCTAAAATGGGATCTCAAGTGCTAGTTCCATTTCGGGGTTCCGAAGATTCTCACCGTCATCTGAAACTGATGGGTGACTTAGGACAGGTAGTTTGGGATAATATTTTCAACACTTATCTCCATTTTTTTTATTTGGATGGGATTGTTTGTGCAAGCTTGATTTCCATGAGTTGTTTGTGCTAATTCTCATGTGATTGATATGCACAGATTGTGCCCATGAAATACAACCCAAGAGATGAAGATTCAATAAAAGCTGTGATGGCAAAGGCCAATGTCGTCATCAATCTTATTGGTATGCGTCTCATGTACTTCTGCACCTTGATTGAATGTGTCATAGTATTGGAAATTGACTTTTCGCCGTACACTTCCTGGCTGATTATGCCCGCTGGCAGGAAGGGAGTATGAGACGAGAAACTTCAGCTTTGAGGAAGTGAACCATTACATGGCTGAGCAACTTGCAGTGGTACGTTTATTTACACTCAGCCTCAGAGTTTATCATTGACTCACTTTTTCTCTCATGGCATGCTCACAGGTGCAAATCCATGACGCATATTTGCATCAACGAGTACTCTTCATAATTCTTAATGAGCTAAGGGATACTATTGAATGTCCATGGCCTCAATAAAAATGTCTGCTGTAAACTTCTGGGATGTAATTGAATATTGACCTTGTGAGAAGCAAAAGCAAAATAAAGCCAAAATGTGCAGTTTACCATGATGTTTCCCTAGAAAATTAAGTTCTTATTCTAGGATCTGTGTTGATTTGTTATCTGAGCTTGAAAAACTGGAACATGCTTGAAGCCTTGAACGTTAAACATTAATATGCAGAAGTTTAATCCTATTCATGAGTCTCTTGCAATTCATAGTGGCTAGTTTAAAGTGTACTCAAGCTCTGATTTTGAGGCTTACAACAATCGTGAGGTTTTTTAATTATTGCAAAGTTTTAAACACGTATTAGGCTAGTTTAGAGCCCTGGAAGGCTTGGTTTGATTGGATGTGTGCTGACTTAACGTTTTAGTTGCTTAACATAATCCTTTTTTTAAAGTATATTTGAAATTATATGTCATGATGATAAATAATGTGAAATGATGCAGATTTCCAAAGAACATGGTGGTATCATGCGATTTATTCATGTTTCTTGCCTAGGGGCATCCCCTTCCTCTCCATCCAGGATGCTGAGAGCCAAAGCTGCTGCAGAGGAAGCTATTTTAAAGGAATTACCTGAGGTACACTTTATTCATCCACTGAGTTAGAAGGCAGCACTTGTAGTGTCTTTATTTCTATGTTGCATTTGAAAATTTGAAGATGAACAGATTGAAACCTGGTTGTTTTCATCTAAAAAGAATTTCTCTGAACAGCAGAGATGAAAGTGAAATATCAGCCAATGCATTGCTTTTAGCAGTCCAGCGCATCATTACCTATGATTTGTTCAATGAATAAATGCTAAAAAGTGGGTTGTCCATTTTTTTGTGAGGTTTTGGAATTTATTTTGGGTTTGGACTTGACCAGCATGATTTTCTTTATATCTGAAGCATTAGCATCTCCTGAATATTTTTTTGGGGTTACGGATAGTTTTATATTATTAAATGCTGCTACTTATCAGCGTTTCTTTAGACAATACATATTCTCCTGTTTAAATCTGATGAACTGAATATCTGATTGCTAATTAACTATAAAGCTTAGGCACGCATATTTTCCCATGTTAGTGTATCTGACGCCATAGTTGCTGCGACAGTACTGAGATGCGTGGACGTGTGAGAACAAGGAAAAAATTGTCTCTTTCATGTACAAAGTAAAATTCATTTTCACTGACAATGTCTAAAATATTTGTGGTGATTTTGCGCTCAACCAGTCACACCTAGGGGTAATTCATAATTTTGTGCTTGGTAGGTTGTAAGAGCATTATCATTGGAATTCATAACATGTACATCTACAGGCCACTATCATGAAACCAGCGGGTATTATTGGTACAGAGGATCGGATTTTGAATCGATGGGCTCAGTTTGCAAAGAAGTATAACTTTCTTCCATTGATAGGGGACGGGACCACTAAGTATGTAGTTTATCTGTTGAGCCACTACTGTAAACTTCAACACTTTTTTATGGAATGGAACTGTGATGTGTGTTGCTCTTCACTTTGGCATTGAAATACTTGTTTCTTGATATCTTTCTGGATCGTGACAATATTATTGCAGAATACAACCTGTATATGTTGTTGATGTCGCCGCAGCAGTTATTGCAGCCTTGAAGGATGATGGGACTAGCATGGGGAAGATTTATGAACTGGGTGGTCCTGAGATCTTTACAGTCCATGAATTGGTGATTCTTTCATCGCTATTTGTTGATTAGTGACATGATATCTTTTTTAAACAAATATTGTACTATTGGGGTAAAAGAAGTAAGAAAAATTGGTAAATTAATGCAGACTACTTATGTGAATACAGGCTGAGCTTATGTATGATACAATCCGGGAACGGCCTCGATATGTGAAAGTTCCTTTCCCTATTGCAAAGGTGTGTTGATAATTTTTTGGTTACTTAGTCTTGTGTGCACGTACTATTGGGATTCCAGCATTGAATCTTTATAATTTTGTGTGGTTTTCAGTTCCAATTACATGTATCTGGTCCTTAATATAAGAGTTTTTTTTTTTTTTTTAAGTCCTAAACATAAGACTTTAATCTACTTTTTCTTTCATATTTATTCATTTTTTTCTAAAGTAGTCCTTGCAATGATGATAGTTCTAGCCAATATACTTGATTAACAAGGATATTTTAGGAAAAACAACACTTATTTATTACAAATAACTAACTTAACTAGTTTTCTTAATCTACTCAAATTGGTCAACTAACTCTTATATTAAGGACCGAAGGTAATATATGTTTAATTTATTTGACTAAAATGTTTGGAAACAGAATGGATTGTAATTCTAATTGTCTCACATCTGTAAACTTCTGTGGCTACTGAATGTTTTCTTTCAGTTTTGCTTTCATCCAATGTTTGATTGTGTTAGTGGGAATCTCTTGCCCAAAAAAATGCAGTAGTTTTCAAATAACTTCTTACTGTGAAATTGTCTGATGAGCAAAATTTGCTTAATTTCCCAGACATAAAAGTTATAGAAGTCGGTAGTCGTTGCAAGTTGTGTTAATCTGTTGTATATTTATGGTTGTACCTAGGTGACTGATAGTTGTCACTTTCCTGTTAGCTACCAATGGACTTTGTATTTTAAACTTCGTATATGAAAGTCACCATACATGCTGATGGAAGATAATGCTGGAGTTGGTTTGCTAATGACGACAACAATGTATGGTTTCACTTTAGTTACGTGGAGTTTACGTTATGTGG